AGAAATGTTAACAAACTGAGTCAGCTTTGTAGGAGGCAATGGTTAAAAATGAAGTTCTTACTGTTGTGTAAGCTCCATAAGCAGCTACAGGAAAACAGGAGCTCCTACAAATGGCTAAATTTAAAAGTTTGTTCATTTTCCAGGGTGTACTGAGACTTTTTAATGTGTTTGATATATTCGTCTATAATAACTGCAACATTTGACAAACTAATACAGAACAGACATTAACTTCTCAAAACAGACTGCTTCAAAGATTAAAAACTGAGAGCAAGGGAGAACTTGAACTCTAGCAGCTCCGAACATAATGGCACAAATATCAACATGATGAGCAATAAGGGACAATCAAACAGAAAGAAAAGGCATCAAGAATAATTATGTATTTGTGTGAGCGGGAGGGGGAAAAAAAGAAGGCAAGAGTGAATTACTCAGGATTACTTCAAGCAGTTTGATTAATTCGAAAAGCACGAAGTCGATTATGTGCTATGGGAGAGGGATGGGAGTTCTTATACAATGAGAATGTAATTACACCACAGACAGGGTACTTTAAAAGGTGTTGAAACCTTGTGACATTTTGAGACAATATGGTCATTATTGTCAGCAGACTTAATAAAAACACGTTTTTGTCGTGCTAATTTGAATCTCTAAAGCCTATAGACACATCAGCGCCAACTTTAATAACCCGTTTTACTGCTTAAACAGAAAAATACCAATGAATAGTGAGCCTATAAAACACGACTCGCTCAGTGGGGGAATGGATAATTTAGTCTTCATCTCATTTTTACTGCATATCATATTAGTAAACTGATCTGACGGCGCGCCGAGACTCCACGGCAGCAACTTACATAGAGATAAATGTGGCCAATTTTGGTTGTGAAGCACAATTAAACCTTCTTTAAAAAAATAGAGTGACAGTTGCTTAGTCTGAAAATATAATGATAAGTAAATTGAAAGCGCTATACACCTAAAACTGATATTGAAGAACATATGCATTGCATCAGTGGAGTTTAGTCGGCTGGGCACCTTAAAGCTTAAATCTCACTCGGCGGAGAAATCAACTTGTCCTAGATACATATTATCAGCATACATCACACCATCTACTCTGTAGAGGTCACCGAGCCTGCTAACAGATGGTTGCTTGACCTCCAGTTAATCATGTTATGTTACATTTTTATTTTAGGTTAGATGAGGCCCTTGTCTAAAGAAATTTACAGTATGATGAGTGTAGGTATGAGAGGCTAAAACTATCATTAGAGCTACTGAAAGCGAGACAGGTAGAGCACATTGGCGGAAGAAGTGGCAGCATATCTTTGTCAGATGGGGTTTTTTAAACATATCTCTTTTATATAAAGCACCATTGCCTGCTGGCTTTAAGAATACAATGAATATTGTATGTTTATGTGACACTCTCAACTTCCCCACAGGTACTACCACTACCTGTTCACTCACTACCTGCCTCAGTCTCTGCGGACTCTGGTGGATCGCACCTCCAACTGTGAGGACATCCTTATGAACTTCCTGGTCTCTGCTGTGACTCACCAGCCGCCGATCAAAGTGGCTCAAAGGAAGCAGTACAAGGAGCTCCCCAGTCCACAGGTAGGTACCGAATTGTCTTCAAAGTAATACTCTCTGGAGTCTCTTGACTTGGTTGTTAGAACAAGATTGGATGCTAAATAGCATGTGCCTGTTCTACTCCCAGGGTACGAAGAGCGTCCCTTGGGCCAACCCTGAACACTTCAACCAGAGGCAAGAGTGCGTCAACTCCTTTGCCAACTGGTTTGGCTACATGCCCCTGGTGCATTCTCAGTTTCGCCTGGACCCCGTTCTCTTCAAAGATCAAGTGTCCGTCCTACGCAAGAAGTACAAAGACCTGGAGAGGGCCTAACATTTCTGGACAAAAAGACTAGAGAGCGTTGAAGTCATGTTTCGAGCCATTTTGGACAGACAAATATGGCTACTAAGTAACAGAAAGTTCAAGACATGTCTTTCATGCATGGGAAGTGGACAAAAAGGCACCGAGGTCCATTGGTGACATGGACAATCATCAAGAAAGACCCAAGGAGATCTGAACTATATAAAGAGCTTAAGAGAAAGGAGTCTATAAAAAGTACTTCAAATGCTTCTCCAACCTCCATGAATCTTGAGAAATTTGGGGCCTTAAAATAGTCCTTGTGATTGGCCCTGTCGCTGAGAAAGGACAATTAAAATAGTCAAAAAAGGAACATTTGTGAACACTTCAAATGTCAGTGCTACTGCAGTGGCAACAAGGAGAGAATGACTATCTCATGCCAGGAGCACCCAAGGGACTGGTATCGGTGCCATGCACTCCAGCTGGCAACATCTGTCTCCATGTTACTGTTGCCAAGGAAACAGATCATTTCACATTAAAATGCTAACTGTAAGACCAATAAAGTGATTTATAAATGCAAACTCTGGACTCGTGCTGCAGAATGTTCACATATTTTGTCCCATAATTGCCAAACACATAGTGTGTGGCCACGTTTCCAGTTCATCTTGTAATTTAAGGTACAAGCAACAAAGATAGGAAATCAGGGAGGCTGCTGTGGCATGTCTGTCTTTCATCCAGTTATGCTACAAACGTATAAAAAGAATCATGTAGTTCTGGTTACACTGCTGAAGATCACACTGTCAAGCAGTTTCTTGAAAAACACACAAAAAATAGAAATCAACTAATCATTATGAATACTACCTTTAAATGAATAAGCGAAATCTGTAGGAAAACAGCCAAATCTTTGTTCCAGTGGATTTATCATTTGCAGTCCAAGTTGGCATTTATTTTGAATATATGCAGATAAATGTTTGTCATGCAGAGCAAAAGACAGACTAATTGCTGGATGGTGATGCCAAACCTAGTAAAACTCGGTGAACTTAGGCAAGTAAATGTGTTTGAGGCAACCTGAAAATCAGAGTTGGGAAAAAAGGTGAGTTAAGTAACTCTGAACGTGGGATGGTTGTTGGCGCCAGACGGGTTGGTCTGAGAACTCCAGAAACTGAAGGTTTACTGGGATTTTCCCATACAACCATCTTTAGAAGAACGGAGAGCGCCAGGTCAGTGTGTGAAAATACCCTGTTGATGTCAGAGGAGAATGAGCTGCTAGAAAGCCAACTCAGCCGTTCTCTACAACCAAGATATCGAGAAGAGCTTCTCTGAATGCACAACACATCAAACCTTGAATCAGATTGGCTACAGCAGCCGAAGACAACACGTGGCGCTACTCTTGTCAACTAAGAACTAAGTTTATGAGGGTCTCAAAAAGCGATATATAAATGCAATCCATTATTATTATTATTATTATTATTATAGTTCACATGAGCTTACCAGACTGAAAAAAAGCATGATCCATCCTGCCTTGTATCAACAGTTCAGGCCGATGCTGCTGGTAAAACTCCAACTGAGCATCAATTAAACATGGCAGTCCATCTGGATATTACTGCTGTCCATGTCCATCCACAAAGCTCAAATAATCTCAAAAAGGCTTATTTTACATGACAGTGACCTCACTGTACTCAAATAGCCTCTACAGTCACCAGAGCATCTTTGTGATGAGGTGGAACGGGGGATTCAGATCATGAATGGGCCAAAATCTGAGGAATGTTTCCAGCCCATTATTAAATCTATGCCATGAAGAATAAGGGCAGTTTTGAAGGCCAAATGGGGTCGAGCAAAATTTGCTGTGTGATGGATACACTGAAAATGTGTATTGTGGCAGGTACAATTCCACTACAAAGGTAAAGTAAAATTAAATATAGAAAACCCATTTGGGACAGGATGAGTTTCCTTAAAAATAAATTACTAAAGAGTATTATACTAAGCACAATCACAGGAATCGAAAGTGTGGTTCGATAGCATCCGACATGACTGAGAAAGAGAATGACTGGCTCTTTGTTGTAATGTAGGCAAACTACACAAAAGAGCTGCTGCTGTGTAAAGAAAGAGAATACAGAAGGTTAAGGTCAGAGTGTGCATCATTACAAGTAGGTGGATGTACTTTGATGTACTTATACATCATCTCAATTGTGAGGGAGATCATGCATTCCTACATCCACCCTCAGGGTTGAGACTGACACTATGGAGCTAATACTTCAGTCTGAGTGGGCCCGTCCTGGATTTAGAAGCAGGACTTTAAAATATATATTCAGACCGTTTGTTTCAAAAAAAGAAGTTTATTAAAAAACAAATACCCAGTACACCAACCATTTGTAGTACAGTTTACAAAAATAAATTCACAGGTAAGCAAGTCTCAACACCCTCAGGGCAAACAGGTGTGATGTGTAGCACTCAGGAAGCTAATCTCATTAAGCACATGCACACACTTATGTACAAAGCACCTGAGATACATAGCTGCCAAAGGGCCGATTGGAATTCTGAACCCACAGTGTTTTACAACTGACAGAGCACAAATATGGGCAATTGTTCCTATTGTAAACAAACATATCAGATCAGCTTCTGTGCTTTGTGGAAGAATTACCTGCAATGAATTCAAGTCTGTCTGGTGTCAAGTCAGCACCTGGAGGCAGAACACCATGAATAGGCAGTTTAGGCTTCTTTCTCTTCTGTGCTTTTTGTTACCTGAGGCCATCCAGGTTCCAACTTATTATTTCATCAGTTTGAACAAAAGTCTATAACTTATTTAAGTAGTTACAAAACAGTTGCAGAGCACTTTCCAAATGAAAATTGGGTTATCAGCTGCCTCATACAAAAGAAGAGGATGACTGTTAGAATGTGTGTCAGCTTATCCTGTTTTTGGCTTTGACTCGATACCTTATTCCTGCCTTGTTTATGATTTCCCTCTTATCGGCTCCAATACAACAAACAACACGGGCTCTTAGATGAAAAGGTGCAAGTAAATTATGAGTTTCAGTGATGAAGTGCCAGCTCAGAGTAGGCGGAAGGTCCCATAAATCCTACAGAAGTTCCCTTATTTCACCTGGTCTTTGCCGTCTTAAAGTTCCTTCACCCGCAGAGGAGTGCAGAGCTAAGAAACAAGTGCGCAAGTCTCATTCAGAGCCATCATTTTCTAAGTGTCAGCATAGCATTGATGTCCCACAGAAGGTTCCTCATCTGGTCCATCAGAACCTTCATCTCCTGGTTCTTCTGGCGCAATTTCTGTATAACAACAAGACATTTGGCCATTAGTTAAACTCTGCAGAACACGTGGACTTTAACCATTGCCTGTTACAACCTTATACATATAAGCAATCCGGGAAGGAAATAGCTAATCACATATTAACAAGTGATGCTGACACTGCCTCACACCTGGAGGAAAAATACTTTTCTACTGGTGCTGATGCTAAAGCCAACAGTCCTCTCAGCCTCAGGCAGAATTTTCCAGTGTTTTGCCACTGGCTCCCTGAAGGTATTTTTGTAACCCAACTGAAATATTAGCTCTAACAAAAAACAACACCCTAATTCAGAATGAGTAAATAATGCAGAGTTTTTCAGTTAAAATCCAGATGCTACTTTAGCCTGTGTCAGTACTGCCACCTAGAGGAATTTGAAAGGGACTTTATTCTGCTCATTTCAGCATAGCTAAGTAACACTGTCCCCAATTATTAAAATATATAATAAACTGTGGAACACCAAACAATATATGAGAAATTAATTGATTCATATGTTGAATCCATTTCAAGAAAAGCTGCAGCAATAAGTCAATGAACTGGCATAACGTTTGTTGCCAACCCTTTTTCTTTCTTAGTAGCTAATGATGTTTTCTGCACGTTTAGGATTTCCTGTTTTGTGTCATAAAGTGACGGTAATAGATATCCTGGCTGTTGGTCAGAGAAAACAAGGCACTAAAAGATGTCCCTTTTAGCAGTGGGAAGTTATCAATTTCAGACCAATTATTATTAATTATTACAGAATATTTGCAAATCTCACGAACTCATAACAATTCACATAGTGCAGAAAACGTATCAAATGTTTTAAACTGGGATAATGCACCATTTAAAAACAAAAGTAACACTGACTTTGCTGGCACCAACACGTACGTTTTCAACAAGTCTCTAAATCCTGGACTTGAAATTCTGTGTGTACTGCTTTTTTTATTTATTTTATTTTAACTTAACCCCCCCAAAAAAAGCCCCGTCACTGCTGATGGTTTCCCGAGGCGACAAGAACATTACAGAACCCACCTCTAGGACCTCGTTTCTTCCTGGATGACAGCAGGACTGCAGGGCTCCACTCTGACAGAAACCAGCTCCTCTCCAGCGTACGGCACAAGCTGAACACACAGCCGAGGTAAATCACGATTAAAATTGCATTTTTTTTCTCATTATCAAATCAGACATTAAGAAGAACATAGTTCTACAGTAGTTATATAGTAGTAATTGAAAAATGTTTGTTTGTTTTTCTTTTTTTGGGGGGGTCAGCAAAGGTCTTCTCTAACCTCAGCTGGTCCCTCCTTCAGGTCAGAGGTTCATTTCCACACAGCGTTCATACAGCAGTCGGAGTTTTTTGAAGAGCAGAGTGAGCTGCCGAAGGTGTTCCTGGAGCTTCCCAAGCGGTCCTGATACGTTGCCTGGCTCTGAGTCACCCCATTAGGAAGCTGAATCAAAAACACACAATAGATAACATGAATCATTTGGGAATAATTACACTTCTATTTCTAAATACAGCAGTGTAATGCAAATAAAAATGCTGACAGTGTCAGGCATGTAAATGACTGCATGTACATTGGACATGTAGACAATCATTTTCAAACCAAGTTAATAGCAATGGCAACACAAAACCATAGTGTTCCTCTTCTCTGAGCTGCAACGGTTTTAAAAAAAAAAAAAGGGGGGGGGGGGGGGGGGGTCACCTTAATAGGCAAGAACAAGCTTTAGAAGTCAGCACTACACTGAAAAACACAGAGGCACATTTGGTAACACGGATCAAATGGAGATGGGAGGATGGGTACGAGGGATGCTGACAGGCAAGCCGAGCAGATATGCCAGAAAAGAAGACGGGCCAAATTGAGACTGACAGGGAACAGTGGAACCACTTTAGCCACATAAATACCGCCCACTCAGTTAACAGCCACACATACACCAGAGCTGCTGGTGCAATTTGCTGCACTTAAGCTAAAGAAATAATGCTAATATAACAATAACTGCAATTTTTGGTAGCAGTAAAATATGAGTAACCGTCCGTGCTGCCCATCTAAAACTGCAGACTGGTGACTCAGCAGGTAATTATTGAACTAATCAGTCAGTAAACCTGCAGTCATTTGAATTTTCTGTTAAAATGCCAAATGTACAAAGGTTCCAAGGAAGGGCTCACCAGTACTGTAAGGACCCAGATGTGAGAGGCGCTGCTGTCTGAGAAGTGTGGATTTTAATTGGCTGATTACACACTTACGGACGAGGGCACGGACAGTTCTGGAGATTATGGCCAAAAGCTTGATCTAATAATAGTTTTACATAGTGTA